TATCCAACACGCGGACAGTATCCAGCCGGCCGACAGTATCCAACCGGCCACCGATGGATGGCTGTCAGAAAATAACGGGGCATAGAAAAAGGTCACAATCTTCCCATTCAACTTCTGCTTGAAGAGTAGAGCCAAGAGCTCGCGCTTGCCTGGCTGGTTGTCATGGGGCCGTGGGAGTCGTGGGAGGACTGTTTGCCAGCGGCCGACTTGGCCCTCCGGGATCTGCTTGGGTGTTGGCCAAGGCTGCGTTTTCCAGACGACGACCTGAGGTAGTCTCCACCAGACTCCTTTGCAGGCTGAACAAGAGTTCCACGATCCCATACCTTCGCCAAATGATGTTAACCCTTGTGGTTGACGAATTATACAATTTTAATCATTGATTTTGACATCCTTCGAAAATTTTTCAACAAATGCTCCTGCAGTTCCAGAAAAACCAAACTCATGTCACTTCTTTCCTACCCCAAGAGCTATCTACCAACCAAAATTCGTGACCCTAGCATGTCCAGATCGCGAGATATCAAAACCGGAAGTTCTGCTGCAGTACCAATAAAAACGCCCGGGGGCCCAGAATCTAATCATTTCTAGGTCTCATCAAGACCCATCTAGCCTGACTAAATCTGCGCTCCTAGCGGCTGGGGGGCGGCTGGTGTAACTCCGGGCCGGCCGCTAGGAGCGCAGATTTAGTCAGGCTACCAAGTTTCATGACAATACATGCTAAGCTTCTTGAATTAGGCTGTTCACAAACGGACAGGCGCTACTGACAACATAACCTTCTTGGCGAACGTAATAAGTGTCTTTCTTATGAGTGAATGCCTAGGCGGATCCCACGTCAAATGCGGATGTGCACGTGCACGATGTGTGGTGGTCTTTTTCTTCTCAATCATTCATTCATTCATTCTTATCTTTCATTCATTCTATTACGTATTCTCTCAATGTCAATTCTTGATGATTTATTGAGATATGGAAGACAAACTTGTAAATAACTATTATTAAAAGTATCAGTTCATTCTTGAGTATGTATCAAAGCCAATTTGTGCAACAATACAGTAAAATTTCTGACGTCTTGTGTAGTAATCGTTGTCTAGTTACATGTATTTACTTTGACAGTAAAAGGCATCAATACATACCGGTACTGTATGTGTGTGGCCCCAGGGCTACAGAAATGGAGATGGGCATAGAGTAGAACGGGACTACGGAAATAATACGATTAATAAACATATGTGAACATCCGGCCACCTTTTATAACAATGAAATATCCAGTCATTATATAACATACAGATATATACAACATATATGGCTGATAAAATGGTCTTTTTTGCCAAGCTGAAAATGTGTACTAAACAATATCTCCCTTTATATCTCATTCTACATGTACATGTATATGCATGTAATGTGCTCTGAATGGCAGTACATGTAATAACTAAGTATGTTTAGAGACTTTGTTATGGATACTATTTTCATCTACAAAGTCTTTGCATTTATTATCAGCTCCTATCATGACAGTTTAGCAACAAAACATCTCTGTTCTCCATTTGTTCAATGAAACCAATGCCAACTTGGTATACTTGACATTTCTGGGCTAGAAATACCCTATGCATATGTGCTCCATTGAATGCAGCCTATATGAAACAAAAGGCTTAGAAGAAAAATGGTTAATCGTCCTTGTTCTTGTTTTCCTCTGTGTCTGCTTTCTTTAAATATGTGAATACAATTACTATTAAAAACTAAACGTTCTGCTGAAGTGCTATGCACAATACACCACAAGTTTTGCCAACATACTCCACTGCCAATGCCACTGAATGCAGCATACAAATGTATATGAAAACGAAAGGCCTAGAAGAAAAATGGTTAATCATCCTTGTTCTTGTTTTCCTCGCTGTCTGCTTTCTCCGATCCGTTGCTGTCCTCTGGGTTTAGAAGCTGCTGCTGCCACAGGTTGGCGTACATCCCACCCAGATTAACCAACTCATCATGTCTGCAACAGAAATGTTTTGTGTTAAAACTTTTGTTCCAACATGGGGTAGGGAATTTTCCCGACCAGCCTCGTAACCCCTGCTTCTCCTATTGGGTCAGTTCGTCCTCGCTACTTGTGAGAAATTGGGCTGGTCTCAATCATGATGTTTCTGACTCAGGGAGAAGAGTTGCTGTTACAGTTATACTCGGTAACCCGTAACCCAGGTGAGTGGTGATGCCATTCAGGTGGTAGCACCGTTCACCTTGAAGTGGCCTAACGGCTGTGTTACGTGGTGACCACTAAGTAAGAAAACAACAAAAAAGAAAACAAAAACAAAGAATTGTTCTCAACTACATGTAGAGCTTTTGACCAGTCACTCTGGTCTTTCTAACAGTAGACTGACCCAGTGAAGCTTGTTACGTGGCTTCTTTAAAGTGTGACGTCAACACTGGGTCAAAGGTATCTGGTTAAAACCGATGATGGCCCCCGTTGCGGTTCAGTGATGCCGCCTCTGTGAAAAATGAAAGCGTCCCAGAGTGGGAACGGCGTTTTGGACGCCGTCTCTGCCCATCAGACGCGTCCCTGTCCGTCTGTCCGTCTAAACTGCCATCAACAGCGTCCCAACACAGTTGGCGGTCTGCAAACTTGCAACTCTGGACGGCCGGACGAAAAAGGGGTCACGCCTCCCGTCTCTCCCCAGACGTCCTTACACGTCTGATGTGGCGACAGGCGTCAAAATTAATTTATTTACGACGTTTTTCACGTGGTTTAGGCTTCTAATGCACATGCGCAAGATTTAAATTAAACGCGCCGACCGTTAGTGGCGCCCGTATTAGTAAGAGACACTGTTTGGTGGATGTCCGCTTTTTTGATGTGGCGACAGGCGTCAAAATTAATTTATTTACGACGTTTTTCACGTGGTTTAGGCTTCTAATGCACATGCGCAAGATTTAAATTAAACGCGCCGACCGTTAGTGGCGCCCGTATTAGTAAGAGACACTGTTTGGTGGATGTCCGCTTTTTTGCCTCTTTGTCGAATTGTGCGCACTTTTGGGGGGTGAAATTCACTTCTACACGCAGCTGTATCTTCCCACGACACTGTACGGAGTTTGGGTTTAAACCAGCGACCGACTAACACGTCAAACGAGGTGTTCAAGGATGTCACTAAGTCATCGGCAGATTCCGAGTGTATCGAGGCAGTTCTGTCACAACAGTTTTCTTTTGTTTTAGGAGACTCGGTAAGTGAACAAGCATTTTATGTTGTCAGAAGTATACAAACGAACAGGTAGTGCTACAATTGTTACAGAAGAACAAGCAATTATTCCGAGGATATGTAAAACGTAAGGTTCCCAAGTACCCTCCCCACATATGGGACCACACACGGAGCTGAGGCAAATTGATCGATGTTTTATCGCCGCAAAATGTAAAGGCGCACAAAAACAATGTGTAGAATAGATGTATACAATACCTGAGGTTTTAATACAGAATGATGATGCCGTATAAATGTACACGTTATGTTAAATCTTACACAAAATCCAACGGCATAAGTTCCGACACTCGGCACACGGCATGCTGTTTGAGTAAGCTGCGATGGTGCCATCTCCAAACGCAACGGTCAATGTTGTTTTCATATTAAATTGTTAAAAAAAGAATACGCACATCGTAAAATGCAACTATAAAATATCTCATGTTTTAATAAAGAATGATAATATGTTCAAACGTGCACTTAGACAACATTTAATATTTTAAAAATGTTTTGTTCCCGGCCTGTTGTGTTTGTGTGCGCTCATGTGGCGATGATTTTCAGCGGCGCCTGCCGATTTTGCAAAGAAAGCTCGTCACTGTTAAACAATTTGTTACGCTACACTTTGTAGAGGAAATCCGAAGAAAATCGTACGATTTCCGTGTGATTCTGTTTGTATTTAAAGCTCTTTGTGCCATGGTGGCAGCGTGAAGATTAATTTAATTTACCGTGATCGAACACCGCTGTAGGATACCCCCATCATTTTTCGGGCGTCTGAAAAGGCGTCCCGGTTACGTAATTGTTCCAACCGCAACCGAACGCCGTCCGAATCGCCGCTAAAATCCCGTCTAAAATACCGTCTAAGCCCGTCTAAAATGCCGTCTAAGCCAGTCTAAAATGCCGTCTAAGCCCGTCCGAAAAGACGTCCCGGAGCGCCGTCTCTAGCATCTGGGTCCCCATTTCCAGACGTCGTTTCGGGCGGCCCAGACGTCTGTCTGGACGCGTCAAAGGGGCCAATCTAGACGCGTCCAAGCGTTTTGGACCGTCTTGGACGTTTAAAAGGCCAGTCCAAAGCCGTCCAAAGCCGTCTGCCATCGTAATCGTCCAGGGCGTCTCAATAATCTAAGACTCTTTGGACGGGCGTCAGAAACGGCGTTTCACCGTCGGGGACACCCTCATTTTTCACAGAGGTAACTCACCACTGAGGCCCGCCCCGACCACGATAACATTTCTGCGGTCGCGTTTTCCCGCTCTGGAGGAAATAATACTGTTGTTGAAAACAAATATACAGCACAGTGGTAGTATATGACAAGGCACTTAACACCCAGTTACAATATCTAATTTACGGCTGGTATGTAAACAGAGATTAGACAGTGTGTACTAGTATACTTTCCAGTCGGGCGTCCGTCTGAATCGTCAGCGTGGACGTGCACTTCCAATCTCCAGATATAGATTTTTCGGTAGCCAAGACAGTGTCCAACGGGCCACCGAAGCTTTACCGACTGTCGAAACATTCAAGGACTGTTAACAATCTTCGGTGGATACTGTCTGGCCAATTGGATACTGTCTTTGCTACCGAACAATCTGCTTGAAGATTATCGAATGTTGCGTCCGCGTAATATATTACTCCGTCATAATGTAGACTTGTACATCGTACATTGTCGTTACTGATTAACTATCTCTCTCTCGGCTTGGCTTTGTTATTGAAGAGTTACTATAACGTGTGGACAATTAAATGCCTTTGAAGTAGGTAGCTACGCAAACAGCCTAAGATATCGCGGTATACTAAATACCAGTTACATTGAGTCATACTTTCATTTTCCGACAGCGGGCGGGTCTGGTTCGCTCGTTCCAACGTCTAGTCTGGTGAGTTGTAAACCTGAATTTGTCGTTATCTTCGACTGATTGGACAGTCAAAAACAAGCTCTTAGACACGATTGTTAGTTTAACTGTACGTGTAGAACTTGAAACATCACAATTTGGTACCGTGTGTTCAAAACGTGTTGCTTTAAACTGAAGTCTTTTATGTTCCCGTCTAAAATTATAGATCTGCATGTGGATCAGGATTGAATCTGGAATCATATACGGTGTCTTGTAGCAGTACTGTCCACCCTTGGTGCTCTCGCTATCGAAAGGATATCACTGGCAAAAGGATAGTATTTTTTCTATGGAGTAGACCAAGGAGGTCATAATGGGTTAGAAAAGGCTCTTGAATAGACCTACCAAGCTTAGAATTAGGTCCAACTTCATCGCCAAAGTCAATGCAGCGCTTGAGATATAGATTGGCCGCAGGAAACAGATTCTTTTAGCTGAAGATGATCTTCATATTCACTGTAGTCACAAAGTTGCAGTTGACAATGATGATGGCCACTGTGTGATCTACGGGAATCCCCTGTGCTTGGTAGTGCGTTTGTTCCAATTAATCGGGCCCGCCATTTTGAACACAGGTGAGTTGCCATTTTCTGACGTTACTAAACCATGGATGGAGAGGTGTCCGCCCTCGCCAAGCTGTTCTTGAAGATTTCGAATGATTTCACTGAAAAGGAGGCCACACGTTTGAGGGAACTGCTCTATACTGACTACCACCTCGGTAAAGCAGATGTGGAAAACAAATCACCCCAAGAAATCTGTAACATGCTGGAGAGGGCTAACAAGATGTGGGTACTGGTGAAGGTTCTGAAAGTGCTGGGAAAGGAGAAGCTCGCTCAAGACGTAAAAAACGTAGCGAAACGTGACTCGAGAAAAGGTAAGTTAGTCAGCAATATTCAATGAGCAATATCAATAATGAACCTCCCCGCCCCGTTTTAATCCAATTTAGATGATACACAAAATGTACTTGAGACGAAAGAAAGATTTACAGCTATAACTTAACGGTAATAAATGTCCCCAGTTATGTCAAACATCCAAAGCTTGGGACGTTTATTTCATATGTCATAAAATCCCAGTCGTTCAAAATATGTTATTTTATTTCTCATCTAAATAGCTATTACTTTCACTTTCACTTTCTTCATTTACATAACTTATAGTCAAGTCAAGTCAAAGTTTATTGCACAACGATTGTCACGGGTACAATGTATGTCAAATAATATATTTATATTATAGGTCACTTGTAACCATAAGATATAAAGCTGGTGTGTTACGCCGAAGGGCGGTTATATACCGGTTGTACAGATACGGATACATATCAAGTACATGTACATTTTTCTGTCTGTTGAACCATGTAGACCATGGCGTTGCCATCCGCTTCACCCTGGAGACACTGCAGGGTTACATGGTGCCGGCCTTGCTCATGATCATCGCCATTTGCATCGGCCTACTGTATCTACCTGGTAAGCCACGTTCATGCATGTAAAACGACATGCATATAGTATGCTGGGGGAGCATCGTATCTTGCAGCTAGTCCCAGTGGGGGCTTGGGCAAAAATTTCAGGGGGCTTGGATACCACTTAATGTTCAGATAGAATCCTCCATAGACACCGCTGATGGAGAGTCTCAACCCTGTCCTTCTTTGCTCTTTCTTAATTTATTGGTTTGGCTGTTCAACCCTCACAGCCAGGGCAGCCCAACTAGCCAGTATACAAATAAAGGGCTGGCCAAGACAAGACTTTAATGTTACCTTTAACTTATGGAATCACATATCTGACGACCTTTGGTGTTATTCCTTGGCTTGGAGCTTAGACCCTAATTTACGTTAAACTCTCCTTAAGCTGTGGGAGATTCAGGTCCTTCCCTAAACCATCGCACAATGACAATGAATTATTAAAAGCACAACCTATTTTCCAGCCGTTAAAAACGATGGGAACCATCAGAACACCCCAAAGGCGGGAATGACAACGCCTTCTCCAGGCCCAACTTCCCAAAAAGAGGACGGTGAGAAACTTCAGCGTCTGGAACAGCAGATCAAAACGTTGCAACATGACCTACAAGAGATAAAGAAGACATACATCAAACGCTGTACGTAAGAGATTTTTTCTTATTTACTTCATGGTTCACCACAAAACAAGGCTCATGCGAGCCACTCAAATCTCTCTATTAGAATGATAATTGAGATTCAGAATATTTCCGACTATCAACATACTGATTGTTTACAAATTATGTTGAGAGGAATATCTTTTCTTTATATACAGAAATATCTGCAGCAGTTCTGGAATGTGCCTAAACCTACATTAGCACTGCATTTTTCATATAATTTTTGACAATTTGAACTTGGCTTTGAAAATACGTGGAACATCTTTTTCAGGTGAGTCGGGTATCATAGAGCTTCCTCGCAACATTAGGCCACACCAAGTAAATTTTATGGATGACGTCCTTTGGAGACCCTAAATCTAATGCGAGAGGGCGAAAAAAAAACAAGAAGGGCCCTAAAAAACAAGATGCCTAGATTAGAAATATACTAAGAGACGACAAATGTTAGGACACAAATTGAATGAGGTGACACAGTGTAACAAGCAAAAAGTCTTTTATTCATCATCAAAACAGCAATAAATCAGGTGGAACAGCAGTTGTCGTCTTGTGCTTTGGGGAGATAGATGGAGCGGTCAGCAAGTTTCTTCAAATGTGGCAGCATGTACCAAACTGAATTCCTAATGGAAGTCATGATTTCCTTGCTTGATGCTTCAATCATAAGCTTTGGTCCGTATAAACCTATTTGCCGCACTGTCGTGACTCTTTGGTCATAGTTACAGGAAGCGGAATTTCTTGTTTTTTTTTCTAGGAACAGGCCAAAATCAATGCGCGCGCGGACGTCATCCATAAAATTTACTTGGTGTGGCCTTATCAAGAAAGAATTTGGCGAACGCAGCCTCAACCGCACCGAGAATTTCAAGAACCCATTTGATACAGAACCCGAGGTAATTACTTTTGGCTTGACGAAGATGGACCTCCCTGGAGCGGACGTCCGAATCGAAGTCAAACTAGTGTCCGTGTCGAAAACGGGCCTGACAATTTGTTTTACCACCTGGAATAAGTCAGAGTTGTACAGTGCCATTGTCAACTGGATGGTTTGTGCATAAATCACCTGTCAAACATAGCCTGTCATGCATGGCTTCCCGACCTTCTCCAGACCATGGGAGTTAGTCGTGGGGAAGACCATCCATGGTTGGGAGTTAGTCGGCGAGGTTGTCTACTTGTGTTTAAAAAGCAGGTCCTGAAAGTGTGACAGGGGCTTAAGATGTTTAACACCACCATTTGTCCAGTTACATTCAGACTATTTTTTTCTTTTCTAGCAGCTTTTTATGAGCTAAAAGCAAGTTAGGTTAAAGCCATGGTTAGTACTGAAGTCATAGAATGCCAAGCTTGGTTAAAAGCAGAAACTGGTATGAATAACTTTCTTGTACACGGATATGCCTATAACATTACATGTATCTTCTTATACAAAGTGGCAACTGAATGTATTTCAAGTAGACTAGACCATCATTTGCACAAATGTAGTGTTTATTGAAAGAAACGTTACCTTCTTTTACATAGCATGTATGTATGTACTACTGACTTATTGAGCAAGTTTCAGTACGAACTACATTTGGAACAAATCTAATTCTGACATCGGTAAACTTCCATAAAAACAAAGAGCATATTTCTTTTTTTCTCTATCACTTCTTTTTTTTGAGAAAACAACAACCTACTATACATTCAAAATAGTTAATTTTTAGCTACTCAGAAGAGTGAACAGTCGCTTTGAAATACTTGTAATGTAAGATCAACAGATGTTACATTTAGTTCAAAGATGAAAAAATAATGACTTAATACTGTACTTCTGAATATTGTAAGTTATCTGTGGTTTTCTAGTGCACTTATTAATGCTTGTTTATGCAAATAAAAAGCATAACAGATGCTGAAACTTGTCCTTCTCTATTTTTTTTTGTTTCCAAAACTAAGTTTTTTTGTTTCCAAAACTGTTAACAACTTATTTTTATCCTACTTCTTCTATATGGGTTGGATAGAAACCATAATCTTGATGCTGGTCTTGATAATTAGAATCTTTAGTTCAGAAAGACAAGCACCAAAGTGAAAAATCAGATATGCATGGCACACATTTTTGTTATCTTTTCAGCATCTAAGCAGAACTAGTTATTTCATCAACTATTTCACTAAAAAGGTAAACTGTACATCACCAGAAAATAACAGGATAATACTTACCTATGGGATATCTTCTTTCACAATGACTTAGCTATGTAAGATTTACATGTACATGTATTACAAAAATAGACTGGCATTCACTTTCTGCTGCCTCTAAATGAATATTCAACACCCAGGTCACTTTAATGGTCCACTGTTCTTTGTTCTTTGTATTTGTTATACTAGGGGGAGTTTCCATGGTACAATGAACCTGTAGTTCCATACTGTACATAGTGTTTGTCTTCTCTGCCACCAGCAGTGAAGTAGTAGATCAACTGAAATCAGCTTCACTTTTGTTTCTTTCATATTTCTCTATTGCAAGTTTATTGGAGATCGAAAATTTCTGGTGATTCTAAATCTAAAGCCCCCCAGAGTTAAAGATGAGTGTTATAGACTCTTGCTTGGACTCTTGGATACATCCAACTTGAACTTCTTTGGAGACTTGGGAACAACCACCACAGTCTGGATGGAGGGAAAACAAATATGAAAATATTGTTAATGACAGCAGAAACAACTGTTTGCCAGCAAATACAGCAACTTTCCCTTAGTATCAATATACCTCTAAGGTATTGATAAAATATTTTCAATAATCAAGAACTGAATATCAAGCAAGTAGCAAATCTCATGTTTTTGATACCCCAACAGAAAATCAATCAATATGCTGAGGGACAGATGCGAATCTTGATAATAGATTTTTAAGAAACAGAAAAAAGAGATATATAACTAGAAAGGCCAATATTTGCTTTGGAGCAAATACAGCGATGGGTTCACCACATTTTACCACATGGCAGGGAAAGAATGAGAAACACAAGGGAAAACAATGATTTACATTGATATAACTATAATATGAAGTAAAATACAACTAAAACAACAGTTGGATAGCTATTCCCTACTTTATTGGTTAGGATTTTTAATTGCATAATGCAAACTGTTGATTTTCAAAAAAAAAAAACGTCCATGCCCGGCATTCCAATGCTGGAGCAGGAAAGCTTGAAATACCTACCAAAACACTTGAATACAGACATACTGTCAGTATGGAAATGCTTCTGTGCAGGTGTTAATCAAGTTAAATCCCAACAGCCAATCAGCAAGAAGTATAGAGGAAAGCTGCATGCCTATTGGTTGATGCCCTGCATTCCATTGTGATTACTCATGCCCAAACGTGGTAAACAAGGCAAACTAACACAGTAATACATTTGCTATAACACAGCCAAAAAACTCAAATAAAACCATTCTAAAAGCCTGTATCACAATAATTTAAAAAACGCCTAGGGGTATTTGCCCACTGTACCTCCATACCAAATTTCAGGACCTTAGGCCCTAAAATGAAGAAGCTGAATCCATTTAAAAAATGGCAGGAGAAGGAGAAGGAGAAGGAGAAGAAACATCAGAAAAAGCAATATGGTTTCACCACACCACTTCGTGGTGTGGTGAACCCATAATAATAAATAGTGAATTTTTTAGGGTGAAACCGATTATGGGGAACAACAGATGCTAAACCGGATAGGGAGAGAGAGAGGAGTCAACATTTGTAACTTTTAAAACATGTTGGTGCTACAGAGGAAAAACATTCTAAATACAATAGTCCTTCTAATCCAAGGCTGCAAAGTTCCATCTGACAAACCTTGCACTTGTCCATGAGTTTGCCATACTCGTGCAGGTAGAAGTTGAAGACCTCCTCACAGTCGCGCCGTGCCTCGTGTCCCGGGGGGTTGTACTGGAAACAGTTGGACTTGATCAGCTGCATGTCTGCATGGAACTCTTCCAAACTGCTGTACTGACCCCCCTGGGAATACAGGAAAAAATCTTAGCATTAGATTTTCTTCATATTTCAATATCCTTGACTGATACATATGTATATGTTGGTGAGGGTTAGATATCCAGGTAATGAGATACACTAAAAACACTGCCTTTTGTCAGTGACACTAAGAGACTGCAGGAGAAATGCAATATATATATATATACATATAATGTATATTTAGAGTTTCTCTTTCTGACAGTGAAAATATATATATTAGGGTTTCTCTTTCTGACAATATCAGTCATTTTGGTGTCTAAACTATAGGCGACGAGTTTAAATCCACATGAAAATGCTCAAATTTTTGCAAAATTTTTTATTGAAAATTCCTTTCTCCTCTAAAAATTTACTAAAACTTGAGAGGTTAAAAGAAATGAAATTCTGTTGTTCATGTAGCTAGATGGCTAGTCTTACTTCCTATACACACATATGCCATAGGATATGGGTTTGAATTTTTGAAAGGTTGGTATACTGTAACTGATTTAATCTTTTTGACAGTTTGTATACCTCTAGTTTCTTCTTGATGGTGCTGAAGTCCATGGGTTGTTTGATGATGTTGTAGTAGTCAGGGGCCACCGCAGGGTCAACTGTGGGTTAGTGGTGACGAAAAAATTCAACCAGTTATAAACACACCAAAGTACATGTATACTGTAATTTATTTTACTGTTCACAATAGCAAAATTTCACGGTCTGAGAAAAGTGGACATGTTCACGGATCTATACAGGTGCAGGAAAAAGAAAGTCCAGGAATTATTTGTTAACTGTAATGATAAGTTCACGGTACAGAAGTGATGTAGTGAAAACAGTGAACACAAAAGTACTGTGAAAAAATCAGGAATTAAGGTAGTAAATAGAAAAGAATCTATGTTACAAATGTGTGTGTGTTGAAATTAGAGGTGTTTCTTATTTAGCATGTAGCATGCATAGTCATAAGTTTGAATCCTGGCTGTTGTTGCTCACCAAAATGCTATTGGAAAGGATGGCAAGCCTTAAGCATTGAGCATGGTCCACTGTTTATTGTACTTGCCAAAGAAGAGATTTGGGTATCTCTGTAAGAGTAATTTTTAATTAGTATTTCAACTGTTCATTGAGCTAAACTGGTTCGAGATGGGCTAAACTGGTTTGAGATTATTTTCACTTTCTTATCTAGGTCCACACAGTATGCCGATTTTCTCTTCTTTCTTATTTGACATAATACTCTTGGCTATCGTCCCTCTACTTTCTACTGCATATTTTATGGTGCAGACTTACCTGGGTGAATAAACCACTCTGCTGCCCCCATCTCTCCCTTCAGTCTTCCTGACCCTCGAAACTTGGACACTCGGTGGAGCAGCCTAAATACAACATTAACAATAGTTGTCAGAAAAAGAAAGAAACATATTACGACATGTATGTTACATTCTACCCATTCATGCTACATAGTCTTTGCATCATCATTCTTCCACTTTTAATAGCCCTACCGCCTTTGTGCTCTCCTTCTATCTTTCAAACTTCAAACAAGTTACCATAAAAGCAAGAGGATCGTCAAGTAATAGAAAAACTAATTGAAAGGTAATTCAAAAAGTAAGATTTTAGTATTTTTACTTCACTTTGAAGTGAAAAGTACAGCGGAAATGACATTTAAAAAAAAAATCATGAATCTTAATAAAAATCGCTACAAAAAAGCTCCCCTATACAAGTCTGAATGGTTTAGCCCTTATATACAAGCTCCCCTCCACATGACCAAAAGGTTTAGCCCTTATATACAAGCTCCCTTCACATGACCAAATGGTTTAGTCCTTAATAATATATACAAGCTCCCCTCCAACCGCCCAAATGGTTTAGCCTTTGCACACAAACTCCCCTCCACACTCCTGAATTGGTTTAGTCCTTACTGACCCCAGGGCAGCTCTTGCCCAGCTTGGAAGTGAGGCAGGGGGCGGGTCCTCGTCCAGAGGGGGCGGGGCCTTGCGTTTCCTCTTGCTGGCGCGCATGGGCGTGTCCAGGCTCTCGTTCCCAGAGCTGCTGCCGGACGGGTGGTGCATGCGCGCCGGGGACACCATCCGCTCCTGGGAAGGGGAGACACCTGGTGGTGGGAGATGGTACTGCATTAGCTGTTATACTGTCTAAACCTTTGTACTGTAGAAGTTGGGCTGTATAATTGATTGAAGGACGCTAGGCACAAAAGTTTCACAAAACAGGAACTCATGCACTTTTGCAATAAGAAGACAAAAGGAGACAATGATAACAAATTAATATTTGTTTGCCAATTTTTCACTCTCTAGCTCATTTTCTCACTCAATCTCCTACATATTTCCTAAATCAATTACTTGAACCTGTTCCAACTCACTAGTTGCTCACAGAAAAAAATAACGCTGACGCCCAATAAGTCTGTGAAGGAGGCTAGGTCCTTACATTATCTAATTTATTGTCCAGGGTTAGCCCTTTCAACTAGTCTTGTAACTAGTTAAAGAACCTTGATGCCTGTCTTTTGTACAGCTGAACCAATAAAATAATAAAACTAAACTGACTAGTAGGAGTGAGGATGGTGCTGTCAGGACTGCCCTTGTCCCTGTCCTCAGGGTCGTCCTTAGTAAAGCTCTCTGCCTCCACCCTCTGACTGGTGAAGTCTTCCATCTTCAGGCTGCTGGGGTCAAACCCACTCGGCTCCACCATCACTGTGGTCTTGGACGAGGACGGCTGGTCAAAGCTGGCTAAGGTGCTCGTTGCCTACACAACACAAGTGATGCCCATATAAACTACTAGTATCACATTTTACATGGTGTTGGCAGGGCTCACTCCAAGCAAGGGTGCTCCCACTCTCCCCCAAATCCTTGCACCTCTCCCTAAATGTTCAAATTTCAAGTTTTCTCTTGTATTTTCATGAAAATTCACTGATTTTTTATTTTTTTGCAACATCAACCTTTCAACTTAAGATTTCTGGGGAGACGCCTGTGTTGCTGATGATTGAAAAAAAAAAAGGAGCAAAAAAAAAAGAAGCTTCAGGATCACAAATTTAGGTAAAAAAAAAGGCTCCAACAGGTCAGCTACTGTTCTGATTGACAGCTCCTTGGGGTAAAAAAGTGTAACTTCCCCAGGAGGTGTTCTGATTGGTTATATGAGTTTTCATTGGCATCTGCTTGGGATGACAAGTGTACCTGTGTTCTGATTGGTTGCAGGAATTTTGATTGGCAGCTGTTTGGGTTGAAAAGTGTACCTGTGATCCAATTGGTTACATGAATTTTGATTGACAGCTGTTTTGGGGACGAGACGTGTACCTGCATTCTGATTGGTTATACTAATTTTGATTGACAGCTGTTTGGGATGAGAAATGTTCCGATTGGTTACATGAATTTTGATTGACAGCTGTTTGGGATAGAGGTGTACCTGTCCCAACAGCTCCAAGAGGTCCTGAAGGTTGTCCTGAGAGAAATGGTCGGGGGCATCCATAGGCTGCAGGAAATGGATGCAATATGCCAAAGTGTCTCCTTTCCACAAAGCCAAACTGTACATACATGTATGAGATTGTGATGGAAACTAAGAAACACTGACAGTTAAAACTTTTTGGCACATTTTTTTAAACATATAAAAATACATGTATTATGATTGTGGATATTTTTATGTTGGTATGGATAATGTTGGTATGACGATGAAATAAAGATTATTGAAGATAACATACCGCTTGTTGTGTTGGCAAAACTGGCTCCACTGAAACTTTTTTCCCCATCGTACTTTGCACGTAATCCCGAAGCGTGGTAAACTCCGGTTTGCTAACAGACACAGCGCTTCTCTGCTGGAGTGTGTTTGAATCCGCCTGAACGCTCGCGACTATGTTCTCAAATATGTTGCCGCGGTCTCGCGACTCCATTTTTCTCTCGCTCCCGGCATTCGTTTCAAGTGTGCTCTCTGTCCCTGGGCTTTCAGCAATCCCCTTCCCAGGTTCCTGCACGGGTGTTGAGGACTCCAAAGGGAGAATGCTCTGCGACTGGGCGCTGTCCTGAGTACTACTGACCTCTTGCAACCCCGACAAACTCTGCGTGGCGAGGGGCTCGATCGAAGATGGCATCCTGACGCTTGCGAAGCTGCCGGTTTCAGCCGAGCTATCCAGTCCTCTCCCCCCTGATCTGAGATACTCCAGTTCTGTAGAGGTAAAGCTCGCAGACAGAGCTGACTCCAGGATTTTCTCCGTGGGCACGGCCACGACTTTTGGCTCCGAGGGCGGCGTGGCATCAGAGGAGGAAGGCTGGCCTTGCTGGTTGGCTGTTGGTCGATCCCCGGACAGTCCGGTGAACCACTCAGTCAGAGTGTAGGTCCGGGGTTCACCTGAGGCAGTGGTGGTCTGGACCTAGAAACACAAGCATTTCTCCATCTGTCATATTTGTCATATATATATAAACAAAAGGAAATTTAAAAAGTATTCCATAGATCTGACTATCTGCAGGTATTGAATAAAACAATAATGTCAAATACTTCAATCTCAACAAAAGTAAATGAAAAATTTTCTACACATCCAACTAGCTGCAGGTATTGAATAAAATAATAATGCCAAATGCTTCAATCTCTATTGATTACTGAACGATTCCTTCACATTTGGATGTGATGAGAATCTGCAAAACAGACTGCAGTATTTACTGCCAAAGCTAGGTGGCGTTTTAGGACAGTGTTCTCCTTACCTTTATATCGTGCAGCATTTTGCTCTCAATACCACCGATAGACTCTTCATCCTTATAGAACAGCCCTGTTTGTGGGTCAAGGGTGAAGCCTTCGTAGGACTCTTCCAAAAGGCTAGCCTCCTCCCTCCCGAGCACCTGCCCCTGCTGCATCTTCCTGTGGGCCTCAGCCAGCAGGTGTTGGGCTGTGGAGATGCGGATGCCTTGTCTTCCAGAGGGGGGCTGTGCAGTTCTGGGGACAGCCTCAGCAGCAGGGGTCTGATCTTGCTGCACCACTTCTACACAAAGACAACCAACAATAAATTGTTCTAAAATTCTTGAATTTTGAAATCTTAATATCAATGTAGCCAGTCTGTGAAACACATCACTTAATCAAGCAGTATCACCCAAATCATGCATATTTCAGCTTACAATCTTAACAATTGCTGTTATATTTCCATATTTAACAAACCTGTGGCAAAAAATTCAGGTGCCATCTCGCCCTGCAGTGAGGCAGCCACAGTCTGGGGCCCTTGCTGCTGCAGTGAGATTGGAACAGCCATCTGACTCAGGTCAATAGTGGATTGACGCGGCTTGTCCTGTGCCTGCATATTTTGTGCAAAGAGAAAAATACTATTTGTTGGTTGAACAACAACTTTAGCAATTCTTATGCTAAGTAATGAATAGACTTGAAAATGAAGAAAAGTATAACCTATAAAGCCATTAAATACTATTTTCAAAATAGTATTTAATGGCTTTATAATGACCTCGAATCTCGTGCCCAGGTCATCACTTATTCTTCTCAGGAATAACTTCCAATTATTACTAGTAGCATAAAACTAGACAATTATGTGATTTTGAGAGGATTTGTAATTGTAAATATACATTTTCTAATTCAATAGAACAGTCAATAATTTTTAAAGAAATACACTGCATGCCACCATGATTGCTGGGTAAAAAAAGCTTAAAGATCAGTACTTGGGCCACAGACACTGAAATAACAGGAATACAGATGGATAGACACATTGATCAGAATTAAGGGTGCTTGAATATTTTCACCACTGTAACTATGGATTTAATCATTGGTTTGCTGCTTGGTGATGTTGCCATCAATTTTTTTCTGATAAATCAAGATACAGTGTACCAGCAAAATGTGAAATTTTGAGCATGTCTCCAGCACTGGTACGTTTTAAAAAGAGGACAGGGATGCTGAGAAAAATGCAAGGGTACAGGTGCAAGGCTCGAAATTCATTTTTGGGAAGAGGTGCACTGGTGTACCCAACCTAAAAAATGGGGTGAACAAAAAATATTTTACGCACACTATATAAGCTAAAATATGTAGAATGTCAATAAAAACTAATTATATTTCATTTTTAAAGAAAAGTACTATAACAATGATTTTGTTATTTTTTTTACACTTTATTAATGGATGTTAAGAATCTGCCTGTACTATACATTTAACATCCTTACATACGTAAACCTATGAAAATATTTGGGTGCACCAGTGCACCCACACAAAAAAATTGGGTGCACAGGTCAAAATTGGGAACCCAGTATTTCGAGCCTGGAGGTGAGTTATGTGTGTCAGGTGTGCAGCTGGACTGACGACAGTGGCGACGCAGGTGTCACACAAGGAACGGAGAGTCAATGATACTCACGGGCAAACTACGGGCATGAGACAACTCGGTGTGGCTAACCTTAGAGCCACTCTGGATCTCCAGCAAAGCCTTGATGGTGGAGGCGGCCGAGCTGAAACTCTCCCCCTGCACACTCTGGGACTGAGAGGTGCTCATCTGCACGGTGCCCTGGGACTGAGAGGACCCGATGTCCAGGGCGGCGTCCATCTCCACCCACTGATTGGTCACACGAGAGCTGGGTGCTGATTGGCTGGCACCTGGAGACTGGCCAGCTCTTTGGACTGAAAAAAGCAGAGGTCATATACATTTTTGTACATGTATAAGTAATCCTAAAAGAAAACAAAGAAACTGTCACAAAATCTAAATTTTGCATAGTATTGTTGGCAGCAAAAATGTCAGAAACCTGCATAATTTGTAAGCATTTTGCAAAGAGAAATCGTAATTCTATCCCTAGTAGATACAATCTCCCTTATCTAATAATGCAGCACAAGTTCTGAAAACTTTATTTTTTAGATACCTTAATGTCACTGGGCCCAGATGTCACTACGGAGGATGGCACCCAGGCTATTATAATGCAGCACAACTGCTGAAAAAACTATTTTTCAGATACCCGTGGCTTACCTTTGACGACATCTTCGCTGCCAGCTGAGCTGACGGAGCTGGTATCGTCCCCGGTCCCGGGGGAGTCCCGCGGCGCTCGCGGGGAGGAGGACGACGGTCTCTGGATCACGATCCCCTCAACAATCCCTCCCAGAATGCTTTGCTGCTGGCTCAAGGACAGAGAGCCTTGATCAGGTGTCCTTGGCCGGATCACAACCTTGAAAAGAACATAAATGTAAAAAATGAAACACTACAAGTTTATGAATATGTACAAGACAATCGTATGACTTTGGCAAGTATCAAAATGTTCAAAATTTCAATGTTGTTTGTTTTGACTCACCCTAGTCTTGATCTGCTGAGGCTGTGCCTTGGTCAGTGTCATGCCCTTCCCCAGACTCTGACCAGCTATGGTGGACACAAAGGTGGGCCTGGGGGTAGACTGTAGGACAGAGCAAACTTCAGTCTTCATACAAAGTCTTAGAAGGAACAATTATAACAAAATGATTGTAATGTTTCAAGTGTCAAAGAGGAAAGCTTAAATTTTGAGGTATTTTGAACCACAAATTATATTCACTTGTCACTGATGTTAAACATTCTTTTTTGGTAACTTTAAGAGCAGATTGATTAATTGGCATCATCAACAGAGAAATTCAATCCTTCATATATGTAGCACAAAGCTGACTAGGTTTAGAACAACTAATATAATTGTATGGATACTACTGTTGCTACATGTATTTCATAAATTATTAACCCTCAACAGTACACCTTCCCGGACTGATTAATCTGTACACCTGGGGTCCGCGCGGACCCCAGAGCAGTTTTTTGCTAATTTTTAGAAATTATCAACATGCTACCAGCTCAATTGTTTTGCAAACTGATGTGGGAACCTCTGTGTCCACATTACATTCAAAAATCATACATTTTGAACTTTTTCTATTTTTTGGTGAAGAAAAGAAGACAAGAAGAAATACCCGATTTTTAAACCCATTTCAGACTGAAGGGACTTTTGAGGCCCAACTTTGATCTCAGATAGCGGCTAAACGGCTTGCGCTCGAAGTATGAAATTTGAAGACCTTTCCTAAAATGTCTTTGGAAAAAAGTTCATATTAGTTTAATACTAGTAAGTTGATGTTTTTTTGTGTTGCCATGGCAACGGGTTTCTAGCTGGCAGTTTTTTTGAAAATAGAAGTAAGTAATTTTGGTTTAAACATAAAAATTTTCTGAGTTTTATATCAAATTATACTTCTTTTCCAACATTAATAACATCTTACATAATTAAATATAAGTTAAATCATTTAATATGCATAGAATATGCTAATTTGATGACGTCATTGGTCAAAATCCAATATGGCGGACTAATTATTATTAGCTCTGACGTCATATGACGTCATAATTACACCAAAGTTATCCAAATTTAATTCTATTACTACACAATTCTCTGAAAACTTGGTAGACATACGATGAGTGCATAAAAACATATAAAAACAGAAATAAGGTAATGTATAAGAACGCCAGTGTATCCATTATGATCGAAAGCCGGCCGGGGTCCGCGCGGACCCCAAAAGAAAATCAGATATAATTTTTTTTATAAATGGTAGAAATGGAGTTTTCTGCACTGTATTGAGAGACAACTTTGTGGGTGACAATTACCTAAAATTTCAGAAAAAAATCTTTAGAAACAAAAAAGATATTACAGAATGTATAGTGCTGGGGACCGCGCGGACCCCAGGTGTTCTGTTTAGGGTTAAACTTTACTCTGTACTCTAATTCTTCTTCTTGAACTCAAAGTGAAACAAACAAACACATACCTGCGTGATATAGGTGGTTACCACAGTGATGGGTTTGCCGTGTTGTGTTTTGATCGTTTTTGCCTGCTGTACAACGATCACGCTGGGCTTACCGGCCGACGAAGGACCAGCTTTCGCGATGGTGTAGGGCGTAGCACCTTCATGGGGTGACAGAAATGAAACTCTTGATCCCAATTCTAATTTAGTTTAATAAAGCTTAATTTTTGCAAGTTGTTTCAAAAAGGCAGATGGTAAGTACAGTGTACTAGTCTAGTGTGTTACTAGTAGTCACAAAGTACATTATGTACAAACATGTACATGTAGCAAGGAAATTTCACAGTGACTTTTATTTGTCAATATTACAACAGATTTACTGTAAGTCTTGAAATATTTACAGTAGATTTATTTTTGCAATTTTCCACTACAAATATGCATCTCCAATGTGTTATTTACTGTACTACAGAACTGTTTCAACTGCAAACTAAAAGGTCAAAACTCCCTCATGTCCTGTGCAAAAGCAAATGAATTTACAGAATTATGGATTTTGACCCTCTATCCAGTAGTAAGCAAGTGAGGTAAACTACGTACACAACAACATCTTCCAGCCCTCTGGGCCAGAAGCAGGGTTGCTAACTGCTGAACCAAAAAAATGCTACCATGCAAACGTCGACATCTCACCTGAAGGCAGTGTTCTTGTTACTGTAAGCGGCATGGTCTGCACAGTTTTTGGGGTAACAGTTATGATGTTGGTAGGGGGAGGGGTGGCCTTTCCTGCAGAGGGTGTTGATGTGGGCATGGTCACTACCCGTGTGCCGATAGCTGGGTTCACAATGGCTCTGTTTCCGTTATTCTGGGCATATACTGTGTGAAGGAAAAAAAGATTGAAAATGATGTTATGTTTAAACCATGATAGCAAAATATTACTTCTGTGAACACTGAAAAGTGGCTATTGAAATGCAAAGAAAACAATCAGGACCTGAGCTACATTCTAGGAAAGAGTAAATACAAAGTTGGAAGCAACATTTGCTAGCAAATACAAAATATTTCAGCCCACCCCCCCTATTTCTTTCAAAATCATAAATGTAGCCTAAAATATATTTGATTCAGTATGCTAAAATTACATGTTGTATGCATGTTGCTAACTTGCTACTACTATGTACAAGTTGCTACAATGGACCAGTGCTTAACACATTTTCAACAGGAGAGTCTTAAATGTTGTAGCTCTACCTGTAGTGGTGCCTGCGCCGACAGGTCTAGTTGCCATGGACGATGTGGTGGTCACCATGACGACCTGGGGGCCAGAACTGGTTGCCGCGGTAACAGGCTTGGGGAGAATCTTACTCCCTGGGAGGGTCTGGGTGATGATCTTCACTCCTGATTTTGGTGGGGAAAAAAGATTTATGTACTATAAGATTTGAAATAATGGCCTAAAATTAGTAGATATTAATCATACACTACAGTGTCTTTCTCAAGATGACAGAAAGAGAAAATTAATTGTTTTTGCTCTGTTGTTTGCTCTTCTCCAAACAAAGAAGATCGGTAACCTAGACTGCTGCCGTAGAAGACATCCTGTGCTGTTTAATAACATTATGTAGCAAGTGGCAGGACAGAGTAAGAGGGGCTGGTCACCGTTTATACATGAATGAATGTGTTCAAGTAAGAATAAACAGAGCTGTAGTTTGCTGTGCTAGACTGCCCCCACATGAAGGTAAACAGAAAGAACTTTAAGCATTTGCTCTGCACCTTTCTTATGTTTTCAACAACTTTTTTTCTTGGTTTCTGGTAGAAAAGTGTACTGATGTCAACCATAAAACAAAGTATACTGTACTGCCCTACCTGTGCCTGGTTCCTGTTTGATCTGTATGGTTGGTTTACTGCCTGGTGACATGGTTCTGGGGGGCTGACCGCCTGGGATCTGCGACATGGGCAACTGGGTGGTCACCACACGCGTCTGTGTTGCCTGCTTGGTCACCGTCTTGACCCGCGGCTTAGTTCCGGCCAGAGTACTGGACAGAAAGGCTGTGGTGGAGGTTCCAACAACAGAGGCTGTGATGGGGGAACCAAGGGTAGTTCATTGGGTACAGGACTAAACAGAAAAAAGAAAATCAGGCATTGGGTTTCCCCCTTGTTGACAATTAGCCACTTATGAGTTTCTGCAACACAGGTTTCTTGTTACCCCCCCAAAAAATGATGGGTTGACTAATATGATTTGCCAAGTTAGATTTTCTGGTAAATAGACAAAAACTGTGTATTGAGTGATTTTGTCTAAATTTTCATATGGCTGCTGTATTGTCGTATGATTGACTGGAAGATTTAAAGCTGCTTGATCTGAAGATGATTTGGGATTCAAAATTGAATTTTCCTCCCCATTTTTTCAGTATCAAAGTTTTTAGCTATAGTCTTACCTTGCCTAGTCTGGTCCACTTACTGTAAAGGGGCCTCCTTGTGGAAGAACAGCTCAGTAGTGTTTTTTTTTAACTTTTAACATCTATCTGTATACTTTGACGTTTTTTTAAGATGTGTTTGTGTCATATTATGTGTCAATACTATGGGCCGTTGAACCTGAAATGAATAAACAACAAAATAAATAAAAACTACCTGTTGCACCAGCTGATGATGATGTGGGGCTTCCCACCCCGGCCAGCAGGGACCCTGAGGCCGAACCACTGCTGGATGTGGGGGTGTGCGGCAGCAGGATGGAGGGGATCCTGGCCATGGGGCTGGAGGCTGAGCTGCTGACGTTCCCGGGGAGAATACGCGCTAGTGTGGTGGAGGTGGACGCGGGATGGCTGCTGCGCAGGATATTGGGCATAAAAGACGGCCCAGACGATTGGCTACTGACGATAATTATCTGTAAAATAAAACTCGCCATCAATGCTAAGTAACAAGACATCACGTCGGTGAAGGTTAGACATCCAAGTAATAAGATACGCCAAAAAAATTACTCAAGCAACTAGATATGATGTTGGAAACAGTCAGATGTTTCAGGTGTCACTACCTTTCGTCAGTCACACTGTTACCTGCTTTTCTGTAACATGAAAATTGCCATCATGAAGCAATACTGTATCGTAAGTTCTAGCACAAGCCGGGAAGGGGGAGGGGGAGCGTAAGATGAATGATTTGTTAGTGGTAATGATAAGTTCACGATACAGAAGTGACTGTGAAAACCATGAACATAAAAGTACATATACCGTGATTAAAAACAGTAATTACAGTACTTAGTAAAGTAACAAGGGATCAATTTCTACTATGAAATTAAAGACATATAGCGGTAAGAGCTCCCTCTAGCAGATTCTTTCTGAACTTACTGTCTACTAAAAGTAAAAATGCCAAAAGTCTCACCTTCTGTGTAGCTGTGGGAGCCATGGAACTTTTTGGTGGTGGTGTTTTGGCCAGGGTGATCTTCACAGGGCTCATGGAATGTGACGACGCAGTTCCCTGGGACACCTAGGGACCACAAGAGGAATTACAGACTCTCAGACCCAAAACATATTAGACATACTGAGACAAAAAATGTAACAGTACAAAGCATAATGAGAAAATTCATTGTGATAAAAACCTTTTGACCTAATCAACTGTTTGAAACTTAACACACATATCATAGTACATCCTGCTAAAGCTAGGTGGCACTGTACAACAGTGTTATTCTTGGAGTATTTTTCAGTTTTTACATTAGGATTTGTCATCCAAAATATAGCAAAGTTACAGTAATCCCAGGGTCCAATGGCCAAAAATCTTACCCTGATGTTAGAAGAAGTTGGCAGGAGTAAGGGTCGAGCTTCCACAGTTCTTGAAGAAGCCCCAGAAGCGGGGTGAGGAGTGGAGGAAGAACTGGTCCTCTTTCTTCTTCTGCCTTTGGTCTCCATCTCCATCTCATCTTCTCTTTCTCCTAGAATTGAGAAGGAAGTTTTAAGCAATATATTGAGGATGGGTAGCTCTTCAATACCCAGTATGCATACCCCAAACATTCAGGCTTAACAGTAGCCTGCATAGTCCAGTGGTTAGTGACCCTGCCTCTGGACCAAGAGTTCATGAGTTTGAATCCTGGCTCTTGTCGCTCACCCGACTTGCACACTACTGGAAAGGGTCTCAGTCTTTAGGATGGTGTGATAAGCCTTCGTCTACTGTTAATTGTGCTTGTCAAAAAGAGCTTCCCAGGAGAGAGTCAAAAAGAGCTTCCCCAGAAAAAATTTCCCCGGTACAATGAACCTGTAAATACTGTAGAATACCGGTACACATGTATGTTTTCTCTGTCACAACCACTGGAAGAGAACTGTTCTTTGAGTTCATTGAGCTGGTGTGTTCTAAGATCACTTCCACTTTCTTTCCTTTACAGCCTATTTCAAACAATAATATCACATTTACTGAAGCTGTGCATTTCTACATACAGACCTTTCACTGTAATGGTGGCACCGCTGGGCAGCACCACTACTCCAGAGGGGGGGCTGGCTGATCGTGGTGACTTCATGGTCCCTGAACTGACACCACTGGTGCCTGGCACTGTGGGGAAAGACAAGATTGTCAACTTTTACAGATACTCACTGCAAAAGGTAATGTACTCTTCAATTTAAAACAAAATTCACATGCATGTACATGTACAAGCTACTACTGCAGCTATGGCAGTTATAAACTTATAAGTTATAGGTTAAAATTCATAACATGTGTACTGCTAATCACATTGAACTTCCATAACCTCAATCATTTTAGAACATGTGCAACATGTTAGAATTTTTAATAGTATAATGGCTATACCAGGCATAAAGTCCACAATACAATTTCAATGGTGATGCTTACATATGATTGTATCTCGATAGTACCATTCATGAATGTTGACAGCATCACATGAAAAAGTTGTCTTTTACTGTATTCAACAGCTTCTTGAATTTTAACTTCATATTTACAAGATAAAATGATTTCCCAAACAAGCAAATTAGTACATGTAGGTATATATGTTATGCCTCACCTTCTTTCTTGGCAGTATCAGCAGGATCAGGCAGTGTAGAGTTGTGTGCAGCAGCAATGTTGGCTGCTGTGTTGGCCAGTCCTGTGAAGGCAGTCTGCGGCACGAGACGTGGCATGAGTGGCACCAGTCTCCGCCCCTCCACTGACCACTCATAGGTGGAGTTGGGACCAGAGAGTCTAGAAACAAACCGACAACAACTTAGAAATACATAAAATACATGTAGATCCAATCTTATTAAATTCATTAACCTTTATTTGACAAACAGAAGTACTGGTAGCTACTACTCGGTAAATCCATTGGTTACAGGGATAGGCAGCAGGGAGGAGCTTCGAGGTTAAATCAGATTACACCTAACGTAGCATGTTTATGTACTGGTATATGATTGATGGCTTATCACATGATTGTACGTTACCTGAGGCTCAATATCATAATAAACATAAAATGCTACATCCTCTTCCTTTGAAACAACCAAAGTAGTAGGCTAATGTAAATGTGCATTGAGCCCACGGTGGTAAAATCTGGGTTGCAAAGTTCCCACATGCCATAGAACCCGAACTGTGTTCGATCTGGGCAATTCGAATCGAACCCGCGTTCTATTTCGGGGTCACCTGCGGTCATTTACAGTAAAGCGGCAAAACAAGCCCTTCTGTCTCTGTGCCGTGCAACAGATTAAAAAAACACACTTTTCTATAGATACAAACAGTTTCCTGGACAGTATATGTCCGCTATCATTTTTTTGTGGACATGTAACATGTAGCGAAGCTACTGTCGTATCCTTGGGTGACCTTGAATACTGTATTAAATGATTCTTTACGCCAGTACGAATAACACAATGCAGACTTTTGGTCGACTTGACATGTCTGCAAAACTCGTTTTAACCTGCAAGCACGGAAAGTCAAGCATACCCCATTCACGGCTCAAAATGACCGTAACGGTTGTCCCGAAAATCGTGTTTTAGGGATTTTTGAAAAATGGCCTCAATCTTGAATTATGGGTAATTTAGTGCGAAAAATGTAAAAAAAGATCATTTTTTCACAAATATGTCGACAAAAACTAGACTTAAAATCAGAAATTAAAAAATCCCTAAAACACGATTTTTGATCTTATTCCTAGTCGTCGAAAAATATAAAAATCGGGAATCTGGGGTAATATACGTAGCCAGGTTAAAACGATGTTTGCCTAAAAACATGACATGACTTGTGGTCGGAAACCCGAAAAAAATCGTCTTTCGGAGTGAAATTTTGAAAAATCAATGATTTAACATAAACAGCTAATATTAAAAGGATGTTAAGGCAATAATTTCATTTTGATTTGACGAAATTTACCATTAAATCCTTTTTGTTTATTTTCAAGTGTTTTACTGGTAGGCCAAAATCGGCCAAAATAGCGTCTTGTAACCCGATACCTTTTAGAACGCGCCTAGCAATGGGAAAGAATACCGTGGTGACAGACCGCCGTGGCCATTGACCCATTGTCTATCATGATCAATCTAAAAACATTTCAGGTCTGAAATCAAGAAAAGGTAACCCATTTTGCTGCTGAGCATGGAACATGTAGCTCCATTATTCTGTATGTATTAGTAGTCAAGATTATAACACTACAGAATGCTGTAATGTAGAGGATTATTTACTTATGAAGTTACTTACACATCTGCTACTGTACTGAGGGACTCATCATTGACAGCCCTTCGCACCTCAGCTCTGTGTCTCTCTGTGGAGATGCTGCACACAACAACATGGGTACAACTTAGCATTCAAAAAACTTGTAGAGTTTAGTTAGAAGAAGTTTTACTTCTTTTTTTTCATGCAAGTGGAGTATACAAAATTTACAAATTGTATTACCGGTATGTGCCTCGAACATTTAGTGATCATATTTTCTTTTGCTTATTATTGACATTGTTAAAATCTACTCGGAAGTGCTGCTAATATTAAGCATTGTAATTTTTCACTATTACCTCAACACCTTGGCAATCTCATCCAGGAGTTTTTTCTTGTCCTTGCTGAGGTCTCCCTGTGCCCTGAAGGCACTGATGAGGGAGGCATAGGCCTCCAATTCTGGAGGAAGCAGAGGATACAGCTAGTTTAGGACAAGGAACCTACCACACCATTGATGTTGTCAAACTTTAGGGACAGATACATGTATGCTTATGATAAGCCTTATCAAACAGAAGCAATACATGTCATGACATGTCAAAAGAAAATCTCATTTAAATTTGAATGTTATTTAGAAGCATAGCTAGGTGTTTGTTCAAGTACTGTATGTCATTCATGTGCCATACTGGACTTTTCCATCTCTCTCTTTCTCTCTCTCTCTCTATCTACCTATCTATCTTTATATAGGACTACACAAAAAGTCGAATAACCCCCACAAGGCAGAAGCTGAGAAAGCTTTTAGCTTCTCCTAACAGTATGGCTTCTATTCTTTAGACTTACGACTTTGTATAACCTGCATGAACAATTTCTATTTGCGCAATTATGTTTTGTCACTTTCTACAGGCTTACCACAAAATAACAACAACAAAAATTGCAAGCGTTTTTCTTACCTAGTCGACGTAGAATTCGCTTGCACTCATCTCTAGAGAGGTCCAACAGTTTGGGCCACATATTTGTCCCGGAGCCTCTTTACAGCCACCTCAGGCTGCAGCATAATCATAGCAAACACAAAACGAATTCAAAATTTAATGGCCATATTTGCAGAAAGATAGGAATTTGATAAAGAGAAGTAGCTGAACCTGAGCGACACGCACTCACGACTAAAAATTTGCGAACGTCGAGACTTTGCTTTCACCACCGCCCCCCTCCCCACATGCCCCTGGTTTCTGTTCGCATAGCTGGGGAGAATGCACTGTCCACAGATGTCTAAACTTGCCACACTAGTCCATCAACACTCTATGTACTGCTCATCAAAATAACATAACAGGAAACCTACCAAAACTCAATCTTTTCCGCGAAATCTCACACAACATCGTGTAAAAAAGTCCCCAAAATGGCGCTGCCTTTTGCAGCGTGAGGCCCCGAGTTGGCTGCAATCCTCTTTTATTCCCGCCTTTCATAATCGCATAAATATTTCATGAACATGAAATTCTTGAAGGCTTGTTAAGTATTTAAAATAGTACACATCTGAAAGATATCAAATTTTTATCATATATGATTCTTTAAACTCCAGCTGATAATAATATTGGCAAATTATTTAGGCACGAATTGATCTACATCAGGCAGCTAACATTACGACGGGTCCTTCGTTACGAGTTCTACGGCGGGAGCGGGCGGTGAAATGTTGTCTTATTTATTTCGCCAGATTGTCGCTCAGGTAAGACTTTTATTTTTCCACAAATTATCACATATTTTCTGCATCTAAGTTGGGTACTGTCTCGGTGTACTTTTGGAGTAGTATTATGTTCGTTAAGTAACGGATAACTTCATTGATTAGTATCGAATTTCAAACAGACCCAGGAGGTTCAATCACTTGACAGGATGCCTGAGGGTACGGTGTGTCAAAATATACGTTACCAGGCAGCGTCGTTAAGCTGGCGTCAGAACAGATTTCGTCCATTTTTCAGCAGTTTTGAATGCCAGATTTCTTCTGTCTCACTTTAAATCACTGTCTTTAGTAAAAATGTACCCGGTGTTCAGCATACACTTCCTATTTCATAGTATTTGTATGGATAATTTTTGTTACATGATCATCATTATAAAGTTTGTAAAATGTATTTGCATTTTCTTCACAAAGGATTTATTTTATTTACATCCCTACAGCACAACGCCTGTACATAGAGGGTTGTGACACTTAGACTGGAGACAAGGTTTGAATTTGAAGTGTGGGGGCTACGGGACGAGTCCACTCGAAACCACACCGCCATGTCACGTCAGTACAGCCTGCGGAAGTGCGGGATCCGATTCGACCCTCCCGCCTTGTTCGTCACTTACACGGACAAGTCCGCCGGGAAGACACGCTGTCGAACAATGCCGATTCGCAACTTCACCAAAACCTCGACCGTCACCAGATTCGTGGAAGACTTTCGCAAGAATCCTCGACACAAAAAGTTCTTAGAGAACGTTCCAAAATCTCAGCTCGAGAAGCTGCTAAGACTTCTGCAGGACAACCTACGCGGGATGTCGCTAGACGAAAGTTTGAACGAAATCCGGAAGGAATACAGCATCGATCCTAATGAGGACCTAAACAAGGTTGATGAAGAAACTCTCAGGAAGAAGAAAACAGCCATGGAAGACAGTTTTGAGAAGAACAGGAAGAAACCAGGGGACCCTGATTTTGAGTATGAAGTTGAAAGAGACTTTCAGCCTGTAGAGACTTGTGAGTGGGATTCGGCTGATTCTGGATCTGATGCAGACTTCTAGTGGTCCTACTAAAGTACTGAATAGTAAAATTCTGTACTGAAAATACATAATTTAGTCATAACTTGTTCCTTCCTAGTATGTCCCGTACAAATACAAATAAAACAGTCATGATATTAGCCAATGATGTTTATATGCTAAAAAATGAAATGAAAAATAGAATATTTTGGAAGGTTACACTGCCATAAACTGTAATTTCTTGCATTTCAAGCTAGTTGTACCCTATTTTAATAGCTTTGTTACATACATGTATGTGTATAGTTGTTAGAAAATTGGATCCAATTTGTTGAACATAGGATAGCCATTGTTTCCTTGTCTGATCTACCAGAATGCATAGCATGGCTTGTCAATTGTAGAAAAATGTTTTGTTGATTAACTACATTGTAATCAATGATACACATGTAGTACATAACAAGAATATGAGAAAAGAACATTTTTAGAGCACTCCAAGACAAGTTTATTTGATGAAAAACGGGTGTCTATGTAACGTTACATGTGTACATGTAAGTTAAATGCAAGTTTGATGTGTTTTACCTTGGAAGTACGGGTACAGGCTAGGGTATTAAAAACCAAATAGCAAATGGTTTCCCATAAAGCCAGATGTGCTATAACATATCCTGTTGTACATTCAGAGTACATCTGGCTTTATGGGAAACCATTTGGTTTCAGACATATATGGAAATGTTGAACTGTGAATTCAACCAGACTCTTCAAAGCAATGTATTACATTGTTTTATTGTAGTCTTACATGTTTAAAGCATAATGTTATATTCTTTCCAATTCCATTTATTGACAGGAAACCAATCTGTCAGAACTTTGTGAACTTACATGTACTCTAGGTCTTTATCATGCATTCCATAATCTCTTAACTTTTACCTATATTTTGCTATCCCCTTTGCATTACGCATTGACTCTGACTTGAGTTTGAATCAATCAATCAAATGGTTTTTTATTCATAAAAAACATGGACTTTGCATCCGACGGCTGAATTACGTCCAGTTGTACATCCAAATTCGTTACACATTTATTTACATAGGTATTAACACAAATATCCACATCATTATTCACAAAGTCTTTGACATGCTGTGTCTAAGACAAACAGTGACTGTTCAAGAGATAGATCATATATGGGACGCTACTCTGTTTGTACTGCTCCGTTCTACATTTGGTAAGACTCAGTTTATTACTGGAACGAGTGATGCGTTCAGTGGCTTTGTGTTTTTTATAGATATATCATGATCGATCGGTTGCTGAATAGGTGACTCCTCCGAGCCATTTCCTCCTGTTGTTAGCAAGGTATCTGTTAACTCCATGGTTTCACAGAGAGTTGGTTATTATAATCTCCCCGGAATAGGTTGGCGCCTGCATACAGTTCAGCTGGTTTCTTCACAGGCATACTTAGAGTGTGTCCCAGAAAGTTCAGCTGTCTCAATTGCATATGCCCTATGCTTTGTTTTGGTCATGTCACTTGTGAGAAACGCTGTTGTTTGTTAGTCCCAGTCAAGCCTTTTGGGTGGTCTAGTGGTTGGCAAACCAGCTTCCAGAGCAGAAGGTTGAAAATTTCTATATGCAGCTTGCATTGGACATAAAACGTTTGCCAGGCATAAACTTCCAGACATAAATTGCTTCTTTTACTACTATCCACTCACAATCAACATACACAATATTACATGCATGTGAATCTGCACCATTAACACTAAGAGCAAATATAATTTTCTATAGAAATTCAAATTCTCCACATTAGGAAGTACATATGTTAGAATCTTTAAAATGTGTACATTCTGAAGAGTTTTTTTGCACGCAATTTAAGTATATACATGACTGTATACATTATGCTGGATTTGGAGGTACATTGTACTTTATATGTAGTATGCCAGGAGGATGCCAGTTCCATGAGGCTTATTGTTATATGTTCAGAACAGATATTATACAAAGGCACACTTTTCATCTGCCATAAAACCATTGGAATGGTGTCCTCAACCCATGAGCGTATAGATTTGTAGCAATGCTCCCAGTCCCTTCCGTCTTAATGTTCCAGTGATACAGACATTTCCAGAACACACTGGAATATCACAATGGCATAAGCAAGTTATGTACATGGCAATGCGGTTGCTGCTCAAACTGATCCATACATCATCATCACAATGGTTGTGTGTCCAACACTTCCAGGAGGTTTTGTTTCACTTAAATGTTTTAAATGATTTGCCTCCTTGCTGCTCTTAGAGTATTGGTAAAAGCTTGGTATACACTACGGCTTGCAGCAAATGCATCTTCAAATACACTTGCCAATATGGATTGGTAGTTTACCATCAGAAATATACTTATAGGTAGGCAGACTAATTCTATGACATGAGTACACTGTACAGTGCATGATGTTTTAGGAGCAAACCATTGTACAGTTCCAGGCCCACAAATATATTTTGGTCTTCTTGATGTACGTAGTCTTATAAATATCTTTTATGCCAAATTGTTGGCAGGCGTTTACAGAAGTTATTGGTTAGGTGCAAAACTGTACATGGTCTGTTGCAAAGTCTATTTTTCGGTTATCTTAAAAAACCATAAATTTCTATACAATTTTATTACTACTCTAGATGCAATTAACACTACATTACATTTATCACTGCATTTCAAACACCCCCAAATTTCTATAATCTCTCAAACTTTCTCTGTATAACTAATTTACTTCACAATGTTACATCTTTAATTATAATGTCCAAAATTGAATTGTACTGATGTACACTGGTTTGGTGTCACAATTGCAATAATACAATCACAGCAAAAATTGAAATATCCAACATGCATATGTCAGTGTAATTTAGACTGATGGACAATGCAGCTGTTGGTAAATCAAAAATAATTGAATTTTTCATCAGTATTGTACATGATCCTGTTGAAAAATGCAGTTATTTTTCGGTTCATTTTTGAATATGCTTGTAAATAAGACGACCGAAAAAGGAATAGATTGTTTTTTTTTAAATCTTTTTGTTTGCCATTAATTAGCCTATCTTTTATGAAAAGTCCTTAGCTTTTAGGGCCCCTTGCAGCTTCCTTTCCAACTGCAGCTGTTGGTATCACGACTATGTTTACAAAGAAAATAATGTACGTGTATCTTTGGGAGGGACGGTAGATAGGCCTTGGTTTTCTTTTCTTCCAGATTTGGAGTTTGTCAAGTTTTCAATCACTGATTAATTTCAAAATGAAATTTGTGTATCAGAATTTAGAATGGGTTAACTGAAAAATGATAAAAGAATGCGATAGCTAAAAACGAATTGAGTTTAATGGTGATTTATCTGTTGGCAGGTTTGGCTTAGTTGAAAAAGTGACGTTAGATTTTGTTCCAATTAGCAACTTCTTGAATGTGTATATAATATATCAAGAAACAAACACAAAGTATTTAAATTTTAATGGACTTTGTGTATGATGTGTTGTGTGGTTTTTACGTTTTTATTTTCCATTTCTTTTCACCCAAGTTTTTTCTCAAAATATGTCTCAACCAACTGCCATTCTGTAATTCTGACTGGCTTTTGTTTTGACCAATACGTGTTGATGAAAATGATCTCAATTGCGGGTAGTAAGAAAGGCTGCGCTTTTAGGCGCTTTGGCGCCTAGCCATATTTTCCTTGACATTTTCTGTCAGGTTACAAGTTTCACTTGGTGATGTGAAAAAAAGAATGACCCTCTACGTGAGAGCCGATATGGTTTAATTTCTTAAAATTTTTGTAGGCTTTTGTTCGGATATTCAATGGCGCTAACCCGCGGAATGTGATTGAAAGTCAGAGCTGGGTAGATTGGAGCGGGTACATAAATATGTTCACGGATTGTTTTCGGGCTAGGGATCGGACTTATATGTCCAAATAAAACTTCTGTTCAGTGGGAAAATTCAAATGTTATATAAATAGACTAGAAAAGGAAAGGGCATAGAATATATCCTAGTCAATGTCTGTACCTCTTTATGTGGTACAGTAAGTTTTAGAATTCGTAATCTAAAATTTGCACATTTTATAAAACTAAAATATACTGTAAGAAGACGAACAAATATTGCTTTTTAACCAGGTTTATAAATTGTCGACATTGTGCAAATTAAATGGTTTTAGAATTTGTAATTAGACATTATTATGTTTAAATGGCGTTAAAAGACAAACAGATACATGTTGTCATTTCACCAGACTGGTCAACGTCGTGAATCGTGATCACATAGTTTTAAAAGTTGTCATCTGTTTTAAGAATTTTCGTGCGTGTAAAGGATATCATGTTTTGCTCTTTCACCAGATTTGTCAAATTTCAAAAATGGGTTTGAAATTTGTAATCTGTTTTCATAATTTTTCGTTGAAATGATGTAAAAAGGCTCCCGGATTTTGCTTTACTTTTTTTTTCACAAATTTGCCAACGCTGTACAAGAAAATGTTAGTGGTGGTGGCGATATTGTAGTTGCTGAGTAGATGAGTGGTCCCGTTGATATGCATGCACTCTTCGGTCGGTCGGACAGTCATTTCCCTCCGCTGTTAAGGCTTCGCCCGGTCGATCTAAAATAAAGAGAGAAAGATCCTCCGGGCAAATTGCCCATCGGAAGTTACTGGACCCCTCCCCATGCCCCTTCACCTGCCAATCATTCTGTATGCCCAAATATGGGGGTCGACCATCTCTCGTCCAACCAATCAGACATGGTACAACATTTTACCATGTTTCTGTATATGCTGCATATTTTGCCTCCGTTTTATGTTGTAATATAGATAAGGCGCAGAGAAGTAGTATTCTTTTGATTACAGGATGTGGATATAGGCCAGTCATCGCCCGAGGCACTTCCTGAGACTTCCTGAGTAATTTCCAGTCCTACCGGATGAGATGACTAGACAGTGTGGATGATGTTTTATTGATACGTTTCATTGATGCCTCAAAAGTTTCTAATAAAGCATAGATATCACTACGTGTCAAATTTTAGTATTTTGCAAATCTATGCCCAGGATTATTGTATTTTAACTCCAGGAAGATTAGCTACATACTTGATTTTGTATGTCTTGTGTGTCGCTAATGGAGTTTAATAAAGCACATAAAGCACATAAAGCATACATGTATCCATATGTCGTGAAATAACGCTACATATCATGACCCTTTCTCACTTCTATGTTTTTTTCATTGCTATAGATGTATGCAACGGCCAGTCCAATGGTCATTTCATTATTTCTGACTCTCCTACCGATAATGTGACGTTACTAATGGCTTCAAACCTCTGCACGTAAAGAATCCAGCACGCGTTTCAGGAAGAGTAGGTATGAACATGCGCGTTGTAGAGAAGTCGCATTGGCCATTGCAGTAGTAACTACGAGAGCATAGCGCCATTCGTCACCGGCACCAGAGGTAGAATTGGGGATGACAAAAAAAAAAGAGAAAGAGGGTGTTTTCTATAGAGCTAGTATCACGCTAATGCATAAAGGGGAATCTTCTCCTTAATATGTATCGGATCCTTTTACCATTGATCTCCAATGGTCAAAACTATGTGCTATGTGGGTCAAAAGGCACATTTTAAGGCTCCTCCCCTGGGATCTCCCAAGGCCAGTAGGTGTTTGGTAGTGTGAGGGGGAAGGAAGCACGTCGTGGCGTGTTACGAGTTACCTCCCCTGTGATCTCCCATGGCCAGTAGGTATTTGGTGGGATAGAAATCTCTGGGCACCCTTCTTCTTCAGGGTTCTCTCTTGAGATCTGTCTGGACCAGTTAACGTAAGGACGGACGGGCAGGGACCTTCGCCATGTTACACCTGACAGGGCTCCTTCACCTAACATTCCTTCTGGCCAATACGTATCAATGGCTCCATATGGGGTAACAGAGTTGTACCTGGGTAGCCCATGTGCGTTATACAGAACATGGCGCCTGCTAGCCTCAAACTGGTGGTTGTGGAATATCCCTATACTGCTGTCCTGGTAGGTCCTCGGATTACCCTGTGTCCTAGTAGCTGTAGGGAGTGGTGGTGGCTCTGCGGCTGCGGCGTAGAAGAGGACGGTGTCGTCATCAGGACTGTCGGAGTCACAGTCTGGGGCGCCGAGAGAATGATGGAGAGACGGCAATGACCTGTGGAGTTCTGCACGAACGTGACTGTCGCGGTGCGAATGATGTGTAAGAGGAAGTGTGTTAAACTTGTTGTAACCTGTGGACCTAGGCACAGTAGGAATGGTAGTTGTCTGTGGGTGTGAGCGGTAGGGTAGGCAGCGGCCGCTGGGCAGCGGCTATGTGATCTGGGATCTCAGTGTACAAGTGCGGCAGGGCGACCGCCTTGTGTCGGATCTCCCAGTATGGTGGAGGCAGGGCAGGCAGAGGGCGCTGAGCAGCAGCTACGTGATCGGGATTGTCATCGTACTGAATGTTATCGAGGACATAAGGGGATGCCCCCAAGGCCGACAGGACCAGGATGCGTCCACACATGAGCATTACGATCATCATTTCTCAACTTTAGCTGGTACTTTCTGTAGCAGGGACCCTACAAAGACTGTCAAGAACACAACCACAGCCACCGAGACAACAGCCGGGATGGGAAAACCTTGGGCTGATGTGCGTCGTTTAGGAGTGGTTACCTGCATATTTGTAGTCATGTGCACGAATGTAGTTGATGTCTGGTTTCTAGGCGTGTGGTATCTGTAGTCTTCCGTAGTTAGGGGCGTTGTACTTGTTTGGTCTGTGTCGATGTTTCTGTCTACTGTCGGACATGTTTTGTGGATCTCTCTTGGGACTGAGGAAATGTTAGAGAACAGAGGGGACTCGCCGTATTTAGAGATTAGAATGCAAGTTATGTTATTTGTGTTGTCTTGTATCTCTGCGTCGTGTGTTTTGATAAAGGTTATGGCAATAGTTGTGGTGGTTGTACTGCCTAGACCCAAAGAAACTACTTGCATGCTTGCGCTACTTCCCAACCCCACCGTGACTCCAACATTGTTTTCCCACGCCTGCCTGCACATATCTGGGTAGTTAAGGGTCCGTTCGTTTGGGACGTCGTCGGTAGCAATGGCGACAAAGGGCGAGTGCACACTGCTGTCTATCAGTATGGCAGAACTATAGTTCGTGCTCCCGTTATGGCAACTCATAAAACTGTTTGTAGGGCTTTCGGTACCGGTGGGGGAGCCCGTTATTACTGATCTAAATGCCCACATGAGAATCACGTCATCGCCAGATGAATCTACATTTCTGAAACAGAAACCGAAGGTGGGTGTCTCAAAAAAAATGGAATATTCATCTAGTTGGCTGTTACTATCCAAGTCAAGGTCCCATTTTGTCTTTTGTGGCTTTTCGTCGTGTACCGTCATCAACCTATCACCACCAACACTGTAGACGGCTTGGCCCAGACTCCCATGCCGTGTGACATTCAAATCTAAGCAATACAGAGAGTTTCTCTTCATGTGTATCTCAAAAAGAGCAAACATGTTTTCGAATGTGTTTGGGGGAATATTATGGATTTTATTGCCCTCCAAAAAAAGGGCGTTTAGCCTGGTCGAGGCCAGCAAATCGAACCAAGCCCGGTCTACGGTGTGTAACTGGTTGTTTTCGAGATTTAGCCAGGAAATATGAGTCATGTTCTTGAAGCACCCATGGTCAATCTGTTCTAATTTGTTATTGGACAAAGAAAGATAAGCGAGACCCCCTAAGCCAATGAACCAACCCTGTTTCAAATATGTCAACTCGTTGAAATCTAGGACCAAAGTTTCGAGATTCGAAAATACACTCAGGCTGTTTTCCTCCATATGTGTGATTTTGTCATGAACCAGAACCAAGGTCGTCACGTCGGGGTACGAGTAGTCCGACAGGCGTGGTAGTTTTGTTATTGAGAGAGCTCCAAACGTGTAGCCTCTTAGTGCAACAGCCGGGTATGCGTGCAAATCAAGCCAGCAGGATGTTGATTGGTTAAGACTGTCTACCGTATGATGTTCTCCATATTCTCCTTCACATTGGATACATGTACCCGACCCGTCCACGTAATGTATTGCCACCTTATACGGCACACATCCCGGCCACTCCACTGCCTCACACCGACCAGGAAAGCATACTTTATCCGCCATAGCTTTGTCGGCAGGGTGAGACAGGGTGAGACAAAATAGCATGATCCCTGCTATACTTCTCTTTGTAAGGGCCATTCTTCTGGTATTGACTCAAATCTTGGGAAAATAAAATCTATTGGGCTGGACACTAACCTGTTTAGGTTGTCTCAGGTAGTTCGGTCGTTTGTAGACAACAGCTCGCTTCAGCTACGCCAGGACTAGGCTCCCTCACAGGCGACTGGGCTTCAGTATTTGTGGTACAGACTTATATAGATACTTCGTGCACTTTACATAAACATAGGGACAATAAAGGCACACAGAAGAATGCTGTTGATTACGGAATGTTGAGCCTCGAGGCTCCGGAGATGTCTTCTTCCTGATAGCACGACTTGTAATTTCCTTGTCCGACGTGAAGAAACTGATGAAACGCCGGATCCCGTATTTCGTGGAAAAATATCCTACTTGAGGGTTGCAGTCTCTGATTAGTGCCAGATATATGATGCTTGGATCAATTTATATTCTTTTTTATCAAGATGGCAACGGGGGTGGGGGGGTTCTCACAAATACTTCTTATGAAGATCCAATAAGTTTCTTTGCGTTCATTAATGTAGTGTCACTTGCATTTTCTATGAACACCTTAATTACCCTGTCCCGTGTCCGGTTTTACACAACTTTTAGATGTTATCAGAAAGGCTGAATGTATCAAGGTAGCTCGAGCACATAGATCAAAATGTAATTTGCCGAGGAACGTCGTAGCGAAGTCGCATTGCAGTAGTAACTACGCGAGCATTGCGTCATTCATCACCAGAGATAGAAGGGGGGCATAGAATTGGGGATGCCAAAAAAAAGAGAGGGAGATGTACAGGAAGCTAGTATAACGCTAATCTTTATGTATGTAGAGGATTCCTCTGCCTTAATCTGTATCGGATCCTTTTAACAACATATTGATCTCATATGGTCACTACTAGGTGTTACGTGTGCAATATTTTAAGGCTCCTCCCGTGGGATCTCCCAGGGCCAGTAGGTGTTAGGTAGTATGAGGGGGAAGGAAGCACGTCGTGGCGTGTTACGAGTTACCTCCCCTGTGATCTCCCATGGCCAGTAGGTTTTTGGTGGGATAAAAATCTCTGGGCACCCTTCTTCTTCTGGATTCTCTCTTGAGATCTGTCTGGACCAGTTAACGTAAGGACGGACGGGCAGGGACCTTCGCCATGTTACACCTGACAGGGCTCCTTCACCTAACATTCCTTCTGGGCAATATATATCAATGGCTCCATATGGGGTAACAGAGTTGTACCTGGGTAGCCCATGTGCGTTATACAGAACATGGCGCCTGCTAGCCCCAAACTGGTGGTTGTGGAATATCCCTATACTGCTCTCCTGGTAGGTCCTTGGATTACCCTGTGTCCTAGTAGCTGTAGGGAGTGGTGGTGGCTCTGCGGTGAATATCCCTACACTGCTGTCCTGGTAGGTCCTTAAGCTTGGATTACCCTGTGCTCTAGTAGCTGTAAGGAGTGGTGGTGGCTCTGCGGCGGCGGCGTAGAAGCGGACGGTGTCGTCATCAGGACTGTCGGAGTCACAGTCTGGGGCGCCGAGAGAATGATGGAGAGACGGCAATGACCTGTGGAGTTCTGCACGATCGTGACTGTCGCGGTCCGAATGATGTGTAAGAGGAAGTGTGTTAAACTTGTTGTAGCCTGTGGACCTAGACACAGTAGGAATGGTGTTGTCTGTGGGTGTGAGCGGTAGGGTAGGCAGGGGCCGCTGGGCAGCGGCTATGTGATCTGGGATCTCAGTGTACAAGTGCGGCAGGGCGGCCGCCTTGTGTCGGATCTCCCAGTATGGTGGAGGCAGGGCAGGCAGAGGGCGCTGAGCAGCAGCTACGTGATCGGGATTGCCATCATACTGAATGTTATCGAGGACATGAGGGAATCTCGCAAGGCCGACAAGACCAGTATGCGTCCGCACTTGAGCATCACGATCATCATTTCTCAACTTCAGCTGGTACATTTTTAGCAGGGACCCTACAAATACTATCAAGAACACAACCACAACCACCGAGACAACAGCCGGGATGGAAAAACCTTGGGCTGATGTGCGTCGTTTAGGAGTGGTTACCTGCATATGTGTAGTCATGTGCATGAATGTAGTTGATGTCTGGTTTCTAGGCGTGTGGTATCTGTAGTCTTCCGTAGTTAGGGTCGTTGTACTTGTTTGGTCTGTGTCGACGCTTCTGTCTACTGTCGGACATGTTTTGTGGATCTTTCTTGTGACTGAGGAAATGTTAGAGAACAGAGGGGACTCGCCGTATTTAGAGATTAGAATGCAAGTTATGTTATATGTGTCGCTAGTGTCTGAACGTGTGTTGAGGATTTCTTCTTTAACACCTGTCTCTGTGTTGTGTGTTTTGATAAAGGTTATGGCAATAGCTGTGTCGGTTGTACTGCCTACACCTAAAGAAACTACTTGCATGCTTGCGCTACTTCCCAGCGCCACCGTGACTCCAACATTGTTTTCCCACGCGTGCCTGCACATATCTGGGTAGTTAAGGGTCCGTTCGCTTGGGATGTCGTCGGTAGCAATGGCGACAAAAGGCGAGTCACTGCTGTCTAGCTTTTGTACAGAACTATAATCCATGCTCTCGGTATGGCAATCCATTAAACTCGCCAGACCTGGGCTTTCGGTACCGGTGGGGGAGGCTGTTATTACTGATCTAAAATCCCACATGAGGATCACGTCATTGCTAAATGAATCTACATTACTGAAACAGAAACCAAAGTTGGGTGTCTCAAAATACATAGAATATTCATTTAGTTGGCTGCTACTATCCAAGTAAAAGTCCCATTTTGTCTTTTGTGGCTTTTCGTCATGTACCGTCATCAACCTATCACCACCAGCACTGAAGACGTCTTGGACCCGACTCCCCTGCCGTGTGACATTAAAATCTAAGCAATACAGAGAGTTTCTCGTTAAATGTATCTCAGAAAGAGCATACAGGTTTTCGAATGTGTTTGGGGGGATATTATGGATTTTATTGCCCTCCAGAAACAGGGTGTTTAGAGAGGGCAGCAAATCGAACCAAGCTCGGTCTATTGTGTGTAAGTGGTTGTTTTCGAGATTCAGCCAGGAAATTTTAGTCATGTGCTTGAAGCACCCATGGTCAATCTGTTCTAATTTGTTATTGGACAAAGAAAGATAAGCGAGACCCCCTAAGCCAATGAACCAGCCCTGTTTCAAATATGTCAACTCGTTGAAATCTAGGACCAAAGTGTGCAGATTCGAAAATACACTCAGGCTGTTTTCCTCCATCTGTGTGATTTTGTCATGAACCAGAACCAAGGTCGTAACGTCGGGGTAGGCCGGCAGTCGTGGTAGTTTTGTTATTGAGAGAGCGCCAAACGTGTAGCCTCTTAGTGCAACAGCCGGGTATACGTGCAAATCAAGCCAGCAGGATGTTGATTGGTTAAGAAAGTCTACCGCAGGACGTTCTCCTTCACATTGGATACATGTACCTGACCCGTCCTCGTGACGTATTGCCACCTTGTACGGCACACATCCCGGCCACACAACTGCCTCACACCCACCAGGAAAGCAGACTCTATCCGCCATAGCTTTGTCGGCACTCAGTAGGGCCAGACAAAATAGCACGATCCCTGCTATATTTCTCTTTGTAAGGGCCATTCTTCTGGTACTGACTCAAATCTTGGGAAAATAAAATCTATTGGGCTGAACACTAACCTGTTTAAGTTGAGTCAGGTCGTTTGTAGACAACAACAGCTCGCTTCAGCTAGGCCACGTACTCCTGAACTAGGCTCCCTCACAGGCGACGGCTGGGCTTCAGATATAATGCGTGCACGAGACTTACAGATACTTCGTGCACTTTACATAAACATATATAAGGGCTAATAAAGGCACACAGGAGAATGGAATCTTGAGCCTCGAGGCTCCGGAAATGTTGGCCTGACAGCACGACTGTTGTAATTTCCGCGATCGAAGAAAATGATGAAACCCCGCCGGACCCGCCGTTGAAAATATACTACTGAAAATTGAAGTCTCCATTGCCAGCCAGGGTCCTATATATATGATGATTGGATCAATTTATAGTTTCTTTGTATACTGATGACGAGTAGGGGGGGGGGGGGTTCTAACAAATACTTCTTATATATAATATGAAGATAATCTTTATATTATGCAGTACTGAGTACGGCAGTACATTTACTTACATTTTCAGTGAATTGTCCTATCCCGGCGTGTTAGGATTTACAAAACTTAATTCAATATAATATAACTAAGTGGCAGAAAGTCGGAATGTATACAGGCTAGGTTACTCATAGATTACAATAAACGTAATTTGCTGATTTTTCTTTACACTAGTACTTACCGTTGGCGATGCACCCCCCAAAAAGATCTGGAAAGTAGGGGGTATCGCTGAAGGATGCCGAGACTCTCGCCAAAGACAGAGCAGAGTGGAGGAGGCTTGCTGCCCAATGTGCCATGCATGGGAGGAACTAGGTCTAAGTAAGTAATTTGCTGATAAGTCGCTGTACTTTTGTTGTGTCAATAAAGTTCTCTCTATCATACTATAACTTGAGATCTATACTGAAATATGCAAGGATGATGCACTCCCACAGGACCTGTAGCCGAACATTAAGCTATCTAAACCCGAACTAGTCACAAACTGAACTGTATTGTTGCAAAGACTCAGCGCTACCGCAACAGTTCCATCCCATATATTGTTAGCCTACTAAATAAGTAATCGAGCGTACTCGGTTACGACCTTCCAGTCATTGAGGGGTAATTAACTGTCATGCCGTAATAACACGTTTTGTTTAGTAGCCCTCTTTATGACCACTGTTTTACCTCGAATTCGTAATCTTAATATGTATTTTATCCAGCAATGTAAACTTATTAACATTTATAACTCTAATAGATTTTACCATATGTGTATATGTTTGTAATAGATGTTGTTCGATTTTAAAGCTTTTAATGGGTTGTTATTGTAAGTAACAGTGCAATTCAGAACCCCTGGGTTCTGCAAAACTGTTTTACGTCGTTATCAATAAACCAGTCATATATATCGGCGGGCGACTAAATTCATTCTAGGAGCCCACTCGAACACCCTGACCTACAAGGAACGTCTCTCCACCCTTGGTCTGTTGCCTCTTGCGCACAGGCGTGAAGTTTGCGACGTCATGGTGTTTATTAAGTCTAAACCAATTGTTCACAAGTATGTATCCCTCCCTTCCAGACCCTCTAGATACCT